GGAGGTGAGGATGTGGTGGCAGCCTGCAGCTGCTCAGGGGAAAGCACATTGGAGGCCTCTAAGTTGTGCAAGGCATGAGCAAAGCTGGGCTGAGGAACATGGGCTATCATGGGAGTCCTCACAGTTCCGAAGCAACATCTACATGAGGACAACCACATCTGTTAACCCTGGAAACACCAGGGATGCCACTGGGAATGCCACTGAACCAGCAGGATCAGTGTGGTGCAAAATGTGATAGGGGCTTCCTTTTTGCTCATGGCAATGTCATGAGATGTGAGATTCTTTTGGACCAGCACTCTCTGGAGACAGAAAGCTGGCAGACAAGCACCCTGCAAACTTCTCATGACTCTTTCCACCTAGGCTCACCATCAGATGTGTCAGATCTGGCTGTTTCTCCTTTTGTGGCCTGATCCACGCAGCTCACCTTGTCGCCTGTTTTATTCAAACATGGTAGTATCTGCACAGCAATGACAGTACTCCTAATTTTGCTGTGCTCCCGTATATTTTAGTTCTGAGTACAGATTGCCAAAAACTATTGTCAGTCCTAGCCTCCCTGTCCTTTCACCTGCAAAAACAGGTTATGCTGCAACAGGAAAAAGTTCCACCTCGATTTGAAGATCAACTTTTTGTCATAAAGTGAACAACCGTGGTCACAAGGCAGCTCCCAAGGCTCGGTTCAGCAGTTTCTCTCTGATCAGCAAAGCATTTAAGCACATGTTTACCTGAAGGTTGATGGTTATACCCCTTAGACCTTCCAGAGCTATGCTTTTCTGCCTCTGGTTTATGGAGCCCTAGAGACTCAGAAACTATTTCTAAGGGGACCTGAAAGGTACTTAAGAAGAGCAAGCTTCTCACCAAGAGGCTTGTTTGCTACAGAGAAGGTCCAGACTCCTGCTCAGGGAATGAACAGAGTGAGGACCACTGCCTAAGAGCAGGACAGGTTACCTGAGCTAGGCCTTGGGCTTTAAGAAGCTGTGGTGCAATCTCACCCAAAGGGCTGAGATCCCACCATCTCTAGGTATGTCTTCATGGTATCTTGCAAATCGGTGTTAACTTGTTCTGTAGCCAATCTGACAGGATGCAGTCAGCTCCAGACCCAACATGGAAGAGCGGTGGTGAGCAGGGCTGACTCCAAGCTAAGACATGATGTTCTGGGATGGGGATTAACACGAGCCTCCAGCTTAGGGTTCGTGTCCGCTGGTTTGGAGCAAAATCAGGACACGCATGTCTGCCTGCAGAATATCTAATGGATACTTCCTTAGCCTGAAAGCTGTGAAAAGCTTGGTGTTTCTTTTCTCCACCATCTGGACAGAAATTACATGAGCTGCCCATTTTTGCTGCAACAAAGCTTTTCTCACAATGCTGATCATGAATAGGCACCTGATTTCAGCCCTGAGGGCATTCTGCCCATTTCTTGCTTCAACCCCCCCATGCAGCCAAAGCAAAGAAGACTGCAAGTGGTAAACTAACCTGGGCCCATCCAATCTTACTAAGTAAATGTCCCATGTCTGCCCTTTATCGATCCATATGCAAATGTGCATATGAAGGTAGGTAATTCGTGCTGAGATTTGCTAAAAATATGTCTACCTCACCTTGTCTTTCAACTGGCCATTCAAATTACTTTCAGAAATCTATTATTTGCATTACCATTTTTATTTTCAGCACAAAGGGGATTTTTTTTCCCAGCCAGTCAAGTTACTGTCTACTTTTATAGAATAAATTGCTATAAATTAAGTTAGCAGCAGTATAAACAGAGGTAATAGATCCCTGTCTCTGTAGTGGCAGCTGACAGCATTATGGAAATGAAGAATGTCTATTTCTGAGTTTATTCTAATGCTGATGAGTTTGCACTGATGTTCGTCTCTCTCATTTCTCATTTTATCACCTCTAATGCAATGATTTCCCCCCCTGCAAGCTTCTCCTTCCTGAGGTTTGATTTAGTCAAGTAAATCCTAAAGGCTATTTTAAAAATGAGCTATAGGAAAAAGCTTAGAGTTGGCATAGTGGGTACCACTTAGGCTTTTGTTTGAATAACAAAACTTTGTTTCAAAATAATAAAAGTTGCTACAATTGAATGCATTCAGACCAATAAAAGTGTAATCCGTTTTCCCCTTGAAATATGCTCATAGTAAAAGAGAGCATGTATTTTTGCTTTAAATCTATTTCAAATTTCCAACTCCTGCTGAAGAACAGCATGGAGAAAGTGAAGTTGGAGGGACAATGACAAAGTGAAAATTTGCAGCTCCAAAACTGTGAGTGTTTGGGTGTGCAAACACATAAAATGGCCTCTTCTTCTGCTTACTACTTTTCCACAGCTCTGGCCATGTAAAAAAAGGCTTTTAAAATGTGTGGAGTAGAACCAATTTGAGGAATTCTTTCCGCAACCAAATTGTAATAGGAACACTGGTGGGAATAAGAATTAAGCCCTTTACCTTGTCAGAGTTTCCAGATGCACCAGCCCCCATCAATTAAAAAAAAAAATTGTAAATTACAGAGGTGACCTTGGAAGACCCTTCATCCAGGAACATGTTTGATGACCCTTAGCTTAGAAACCTCTATCTGCCTTTTGCAGAGCACAGAAGCACTTTTTGATTTTGTGAGAGTTTGGTAAAAGGGGTCTTGAAGTCTGTGACAAGAGCCATGTCTTTTCCGGTAGGTTTGAACACAGCTGTCTTGGTCCATCTCCAGAAGCAAAACTTCATTGAAAAGAGCTCTTTTAGGAGGAATAAAAGTGTGGGCTCCTTTTTTTAGTTGGTGGGGAGGAGGGTGATTTTCTATTAAAAAAACAAGCCAGAGGAATCACAATAACCTTTCCTTCTTCCTCCTGCCCTAGAGCTCAGCTTGTCATTGAAGCAGGCAGGGAGGGAGCTATTGAACCCACAAAGACCAGATCCTGACCACCAGAGGAAACTTTCTCCTGGTTTTGATACTGACATCTGAAGCGTTCCTGAAGACTGCTCTGGTTCAGTGAGGTTTCTTGGGAAAGCAGGCAAAACAACACTTGACGTGGCCAGCCAGGCTGCTTTCACGCCTGTGCACAAATCCATCACACTGCTATGGAATCTCAGAGTCTAATGGTTGTAGCTGGGAAACTGCCTGGAAATTATTCCTTTGCACAGGAAATTCCAGAATTGGGAAAGTTGAGGATTGCTCCAGACCAAAATTATTCTGCATCTTTTTATTCTCCAGTGTATAACTCTCCTCTTAGCATTTTGCTTTTATCATTTTACTGAGCAAAGCCAACTGCAACAGTGGAACGACAACAAATAGTGCCATCAACAAATTCCTACTATCCAGTTTCATACCTGAGCCACGGACTCAACCTCTGCTGTCCAGAGACAGTCTCTTCTCTTAGCCAAAGCTAAATTAGTTACCTTGCATTACCTTGGAGGATATAACTACCATAAGAACACAGCCATTAGTATGTGTATATACCAGTGTCTGCAAGCTACAAATTAGGGCAATTCTGGAGAAAAACAAGGAATCTGGAGAAAAAATAAGGAATCATCCATTAAAACCCAGCCTTTGTGGAGGCACAAAATGGAGAACATAAACCTCTTGCTCAGGAAGAGGTAAGTACTTTCTCAGTAGGTATAGCTGCCTTTGAATACCCTGCAAAGCTGGGAACTCTGGCTACAAGGTGCACCCCAGAGCATGCAGCTATGACCAGGAGTTAGGGCAAGAGGAGACCAGGAATGACTCTGCTGCCATCTGGTGATTTTGTAACCATTTGAGCTTAAGGAAAGATGCTGTGAATCTTGGCAGGTAGCACTAGCTTAGCAGTGCAGGATAATATATACATAACTGTGAACTGTAAAGAGAGGAATACGGTGAAAAATTCAGTGCTGGATGTCTTCAGCACGTAATGAACATAACGTTGTGTAGATCCACGTTCAGCCCAAAAGATATTGCTGAGACATTATTGTTAGTAGTGACCAGAGCAGGAACATTTAAGAAATGCTGCATTTGACATTTATGTGATCATTTGTCTCCTGGGAGCATTTCTTGACAACTTCTCAGAATCCAAGTATTACTTCTGTTCTGGAATATGGCAGGGCTCTGCTTTCCAGAATGGAAGAGTTTAAATAAAAATGCATTTGCGACTACAGAATTAACACAAGAATTAACACAAAAATTTATATCCTTGTTTAAAACTGTGCTCCCGTACTCCAAGAAACATGAAAGCAGGGATTCCCATCGCCTCCTTTTGTCATGGAAGGCAGTCCTTTTATCAGTCTTCTGTCTCTCCACTAAGCTCTCCTTTCTTGTTGTTTCACAAAAAAACCCCAGTGATTAGTGGTCATGTCTTCTCCTGTACTCTACCTTACGTGGTGCACATTTCCCATCCCTTCTCCATCTTTTCATAAATGTTTCAATCTTTTTTTATAGAGGAGTTTTCCCATGACCAGTCTCATCCCAGTGGTTTGACTCAAATGCCCTCTTCTTCTCCTTTGGAGTAGTTCTAAATTGAACTGAAAACTCTGGCTGAAGGCATAGCATCGATTTGCATAATAGCACTGCAATATCCCACATCCTATACATTTTGCTTCTCTTTAACCACCAATTTTGTCCACCCGCAGAAACTATTCATTTGCTGAATGTGTTGAAAATATGCAAATGCACTTAACAGAAATGGAAGAATGTCTGTTGCCTTTCTCCTTGTTAGATCTGAGACACTGTCCTCATCCTCCCACATATCAGAGCTTGTAATTTACCAGTGCTGTTTCCAGGACAAATGTGTCTAAAGAGTCCTGAACTTCAGCTCAGTAATAGGATTGCTAAATCCAAATATAGAATGATCCAAATAAATATATAGAGGTTTTAGCCCAGCCTTACTCATTTTACTAGAACATTGCTGTGGGGGTGTTTCGAGCTGTGCTAATTTGCAAATTTCTTGGTAATAATCATCTTTTCTTCAGGTTCCTTCAACTGGAAACTAATGCATTTCAAGAAGGAAAATGTGAAAAAAACCAGCAACAACTGAAATAGACTCAGTGGGGGAGGTTTTCAGATTTGTTTTTTATTTGGCCATTTATTTCTTCAGAAAAAGCAAGCAGCTCAACTAAATAAAAAACTCCTTGCTTATGAAATCTAGCAGACAATACAATGCTCTCAAGTGAGGTGGTAAAAGCTTCCATTACCTGAGACATTTAACCGTGAATTGAATTTAGCACGGCAAAACATCCCATTCTTTCTGTGCTCCAAGTGCAGCACAGGTACTCAATAGCCTCACCAGGCTGGTACTGTTAAAAAGAGAAATGAGTTATGACTGGGATACACACTGATACAATCTCTCTACTTCTCTCTACTTAAGTACACTAAGTGTTGCATCTCCTGCATAGAAACAAACAACAGCTTTCTTCTTTTTTTTTTCTTTTTTTTTTTTTTTGACACGCTCACAGTCTGAAATCATAACTAAAACCCACCAAACTCTTCCCCAGGTTTCTCATCAAAACAAATGTGGGGCACGCAGACTTACATGCCTCATTTGGAACCAGCCCTTCTTGGGAGAATAGTTTATCCTCCTTGTATAGTGTACAAGTGATCAGAGCACAGCCCAGGCACACAGCAAGTATTTGAGAATCACTGGGAGGCTGGTCGAAACTGTTTCTCAGGCTGTCACAGCTTCAGCATCCCCAGACAATGCTGAAAACCCTCAACTTCCATCTGGACAGCAATTAATGAAAGAAAAGAAGAAATTTCAAAATATTGCACGGTGCAGTGAGCAATGAGCTGAAAGAGCTTCCACTCCGGTTCATCTTGAAGCACCTCAACTTCTTCTGAAGGTTTCTGATGTGTGCCCTTGCACATATAAGCCAAATTACCAGGATAAATATCTTCCCTTTAATAAATGTTATAAAAATCTCCCATGTTTCTACCTCTGTAATTTCTTTCCATATTCTACTTGCAAATAATTCAAGTCGTATGATCTGTCTGGCATAATACAGCAAACAGTTAATTTTTCAGACAGTCAGAACTGGTACCAACCTAAATACAAATGCCTCCAGCATAATAGTGGTGGCCCAACCTGCAAGGTGCTATCATGGAGTGCTACCTACAGGCAACAACAGTCCGTCCTCCATATGACATGTGTTGCAGACACAGAGTAAACCTAGAGTTGAGTAGGCCCTGTTCTGGTCCCCAACAGGCCAGCAATAAGCTGCATGTGTTCTTTGTTTGTCACATCCTTCTGTGACTACTATTTAGGAGGGAGCTAGGAAAGCATGCCTTGTTTAGCCTAGCAAAATGAGAGATGAGTGGAGGTATGACAGCTCTCTATAAATACTTCTGAGCAGAAACAGCAACAAGAGACAATAATTATATTAGCAAAAATAAGATGTTGACACAAGAACAATTCAATGCAAGTTAACTATGAATACATTTAGGTTGGTAATCAGGAGATGGTCCCTAACCATCAGACAAAAGAGGTTCTGGAACAGTCTCCCACTGAGCATTGTGGGGGAATGAGATTACTTTTAAGATAAAGATCGATCAGTTTACAATAGGATTGAATGACAGTGGGCCTGCAATAGCAGGAAACAGCACTTGATGACCCAGATCATGTTGTCCTGTCCAGTGACTCTGAAAGCATCGCACAGTACCTGTCACATAAAACATATAAAATGTCCTGCAACGCCACCAGTTTCTCCCAACACACACCACTCTGCAATGCATGTGGGTGTACAAGGTACTTTTTGTTATTCCTTACCCAGTCTTCACACCAGTACATCTTATTGTTTTTGCTGTGCCTCAAAACTTAGTGAGTCCGGAGTCCTTTCCACATGTCACCTCTTGCCCATATTTTTGCAGCAGCTCCATAGACCATGGTACACCACGGTGACAAGGTTGGAATTACACCAGCTGGCATCTCAAGAATTCTGCAGGCAGTACTGTCCCGTTGCCAGCCTCTGCAAACTCCACTGCCACTTTCCAGCTGTTCAGGAAACAGCGAAATCTTCTCCTCTTCTGTTCTGATCTCCAGCTATGGCATCTGTAGCCAGAAGCAGAAGCAATATGCAGGCTTGGTCCACAGAAATAGCCATGACCCATCCACATTATTTGAAGACAAATTTTTGTAATACAGTAATTTCTGCTACACAGTACAGGACAGATGTCGACGCTGTGGGTCTGTCATAAACAAAAAACTGCAGAAATGAAGCACCACAGAGTAACAGGCTTTTGTCCTACAGTGAAGGATCATGCCACACTGTAGAGCAGTGTCAGTCTGACCTGTACAGAAGAGAGCTATTATGGAATAAGGTATGAGAGGAGGAAATTAAATAAATCAACAGATTCAAGGAAAAAAGGGAAAATGCCAATCAAGGATACAGATAAAGCTGAATGCCTGATGTTTTATGAGACCAGGGTTGTGAGGAATTACAGTCAGTAGAGGCCAGCAAGGTCTCCAGGGACCAGGCATGGAGGGAGAGCTCAGTGCTGAAAGCAGTGCAATAGGCCTTGCACGTCCCTGTGAAACTCAGATTAAACCATTCTACCTCCTTGGCAGGTGGTAAGAAGGGAGAGTTCAAAATCAGTGAAAAGAAGCAAATTCAATGCTGACTGATTGCCTGCATTTAGCCTTTCCTCTATGCATATCGCCCTGGTATGGTCCTTTTCCCTTTGCCTAATCATACCCACTCTGGACCCCACTAATCCTACTGTAACTCACCATACTTTTTCCTTACCAGATGGACATTCACTTCCCATCTCACCTTAGCTCTCTCCGAAGATGAATACAGAGGGTGCAGCACCAGGAGCAGGGGGAGAAGGTGTTGTCCCCACCGTGACAGATGCTGCGGCTCTGGGGAACATTCAGGCTGTTGTATTCACATTACAAATGAATGCACACACCCTTGTGGTTTCATTAATGACTATACTGAAAGATGAAGAGGCATGAAAATGAATGCATCCTGCAAGAAAACAAAGACAAATGGGAAGTAATTTAAGTAAAGCCTCGACACTGAAACAATGCACATAACAAATCTTTTGAAGTTTTGCTTCTCTAAGGAAGCAAGTTCTTGTATTCAAACAGGAGTCACCAGTCGTCTTTATAAATAAGAATAAGGAAAACTATATGGCTGAGACAACTGGCAAGCAAGCAAGCAAGGTCCATTACACCTAAAGTCCACTGCAACATCGTGGTCACTTCCTCCATATTCATAGCCATAAGCCTTTTAAAATGTATCTAGTTTTCATAGAACCTATTTAATTGTAACAAGCTGTCCTTCCTTTTTAAGAGCAGCTTGGTAGCTGGTGACATAGAAGTCTTGTAATGTGCACAGAGAAGAGTAACTCTCTTCTCTTCCTATGTTTGTGTAAAACAAAGCAGGCTTTTCATGGATAGGTGGAGATCAGAGGTTTTAATCTGAGCCCCATTTCAGTTAATGCCAAATCATCTTGGAATCTAGGAAAAAAATATGGAAAAATGGGACAGAAGTGGAAAGAGATTTATGAGTTACAAACTATAACAGGGAAAGTTGATAATTGTTCATCCAGCTCTGAGTGCTGTATTTAATTCAGTACATAACTTGTTTGTAAGTTTGTGCTCCTCTTATACTCATTGTACTTGAGACACAACAGAACTAAGTACTAAAAACCAATGAAACAAAAAAGAGTTACTAATCCTAGAAGCTTGGACTGTTGTTCAGTCGGGAGAAAACAAGCAGAGAAGGATACATGGTGGATAAAATGTGGGGAAAGCAAGACCATATAGGGAGGCTTCATGAGTGGTAAGCCCTTAGCACACAACTAATCTTGCATTAAGCATAGGAAACTATACATACATCCTAAAACATTCTGCACTGGCAAGAGCACGTTATACAGTATGTATCTCACAGACAAGAAGACACCTGAGGGAACATATCATGTACCATTGTGCAGTTTCTCTCCCTGGGATATAGGCAAAAAGAATGCAAGATACTCTGAGCAAAAGGAATACGCAATATTCACACAACAGTCTGAGACTGACTGAAGCTGCACTTCAGGCCTTAAAACCTATGGGGACTGTTTGATTTTCTGATTCACTCGCTATGACCTCTTATATTCCAGACTACAAAGAAAAAATTCTGTCAACTGTTAAGGATTTGAAGGGGTTGTGACTCTCTTAAATTTGCTATCAGCATTCTGACATTTTCCCCACCTGACCTATTTAATCTAGGTGTACACTCTAAAGGGATTCCTGGATTTTCTAGAAAACGGAAAGGCTAAGCTCTCTGATAGCACCCAAGAAATGCCAATGGTTTGTGCTGGTCGGTTCCCTTTATCAGCTCTGAAGAATGGATATGATTGCAACGAATTTTTCTGAACATTTCTTCACTGATGAAAAGTGCAGTAGGAGTGCAACATGTTATTGTTGTCACTATTACAATTATTATTATTATTATTATTATTATTATTATTATGATGTTTGTTCTGGGGGAGGAAAGGAGCATTGAAAGATCTCACCAGGGGAAGTCTGAATGATTGTGCTTCAGTGGCTTTATTGTGCAAGTATCCTGCTATATGCTCATTTTTGCAAATTCACCTGCAAATTCATTCTCTCTCCTCCACATACAGTCACTGACACAATCTAATACCTGTGAACCATCCAGCACTAAAAACATTAAACTGCAGGGGAGCTCAAATGCCTTCTCATTCTAGGGTGCAGAATATTAAACATACCATCCTTACATTTTACTAGCTATCATTACCAAATGCTTGCTATCATCAAATACCAGGCTAATTTAAGCTTTCCATTTTGAAAGCAATCTGAATCCCTGTTCCTTTGGGCTGTACCTGGCCTCTCCCAACCATGCTACCAGCTTCTTCTAACTTGCTCCCATTCTGTCTCCACCTGACCCACAAGCCAAGTGCTCCCAGGAGTTAACTGATGTTTCTGTTACATCCGTAGATGTTTTTGTACCATGTGTAATACGAGTGAGAAAGCTGAAGACCGTAAAAACACAGGAACTGTGTTTTTGTTGTGTTGTACATTGTCAAATGGGGTATGAATCCATCACTGGGATCCCTAAAAACAATTATCATCAACAATCAGACAAGGAGCAGGTCACATCAGGATCAACTCGGGCAAGATCCTGGTCATAAATTTGCAGAGGGACTTGTCCACCTGGGTGATTCATCCCTGGGTTATGGGTTGGAGGACAAGGAGTGATTTTAATGAGCTTTACCAGCAGCAGGCACACGTGTGTACATGTGTGAGAACATCTGCATAGGCTTTGCGCTCAGCCTAAGGGCTGGTGGTTTTTACTCTGATGTGTTACAGCTGCTGCACTTGCAGACGTTGATCTGTGTATACAGGCTGTACCTCCCACTTTGGATCAAACTACACTTTTACACAGCATAACAGGCACTGACCTCTGTTCTCTTCAAATTCCTCCAGGCCCTACTGGACTGCAAATAATTACTGTCATCATTATGTACTTGTCAGGACACAGAAGCATCAGCAGGACCAGAAGGCAGATCTGTAAGGGCTGGGGAACTGCGTGTCTGTGATGGGTCAGGTTTAACCTCAGGCATGGCTGGGAATTGTAGTCTGCAGACAGCATGTGACTGTGAGCAGCATCTGACAAAGAATCATGCGACTATCTGCCGGCATCTAAATAAAAAAAACTCCTGCATCAGTGGAGATGATGAGGTAAAGTTGAACCTCCCGAGAGGTCAGAGTAGATAAAGGCTAACCTAGTGGGGAAAACGCTTGTCTTTTCTGACTTGGCTGTTTCTCGAGCTTTTTTACCTCTGTCTTGAATCCTTTGCAGTAATTAACGAGCCCATTAGAAGATGCTGAGGGTAACTTGCCTTTCTCTTGCCTGCTACCTTTATACAGTTGATCAGAATGGATGTGTGGGTTGCGTGATGCCTTCACGGTAGCAGCCCCGAGTGTACTGTTCAGACGTGCTTCTCTCTGCCCCGTCTGGTCCTGACTCTCCACCTGTGCCGTGCATCCACTCGAGCAATCAGACGGCCTTGCGGGAGATGTGCCCGTTCATGTGCGTGCGTGACTAATCTCATGGAAGCGCTGGCTCAGTAAGCGCTTAATAACAGGATTTCACCCTTTCCCATTGACCCACCGCTGCAGGCACGAGGAGCCAACAACTAAGCCAGGCTGCAAGCCCAGCCAGGTCAGCCTCCTACAGACAGGGACGATGAGAACGGGGAAGCTGTGCCGGGACGCACACACGCGAGGAGGAGGTTGCGCCAAAGCCAGGGGGAAGGTGGGTGTGGGCTCCACAGGTGCTGGTCGGGGTGAGAGCCGGGACTGTGCTGAGGTGCCCGGCGCGTGTCCCTCCCGTGTGTCCCAGGCTCCCAGGGGATGTGCGACTCCCACCCAGCCATCGATGCGCTCGGCAAGGCCACGCCCCGCCCTCTCCCACACCCCGCGGGCGCCGCGTTGGAGGCACTCGGCGCTCGGCCGATCGGCCCTGGCTGCGGCCCCTTGTCTCCCAGACTAAGATGGCGGCGGCGGGTGGCGGCGCGGCGGGAAGCGACGAGGCCGAGTGAGGCGGCTGCAGACCGTGCCCACCCTGCGCCCGCGGCTCGGCGCCGCCGGGCCGTTTCGCCAGTGAGGCCGCTCCGCGGCCGGGGCACGCCCGGGCCTGCCGCAGAGCGAGCGGAGCCGCGGGCTGGCGCGAGGCTGGAGCGTGCTCGGGTGAGGGGGCGCGGGGCAGCCGAGCCCGCTTTGAACGGAGGCGGCGGCGGGGACCGGCCCGGGGGGTGCTGGGGCGCATGCGCGGCCGGGCCGGTGCCCGCGGAGGGGCCGGTGCCGGTTGTCCCTCGGCCCTGGCTGGGAGCTGGAACGCCGGCGGGAAATGAGGCGAGGCAGCCGCTTCCCGCGGTCTGGCGGCGGCGGGAGCGAAGTGCGGGGCGCCGGGGATGCAGGACAGCAAGGCTGGGGCTCGATCCCCCGGGCGTGTGCGTTAAGGAACGGGAGACGTGGAGGGAGAGCTTCCCCACCGAGCCTGTGCGGTCATTGCTGACACCGAGGAATTCGAAGCAGGGGAACCTAATTAGGATTTATAGGATGAAACTAGTCAAGGGTACGTTTTGTGTTTGCTGGGTGGGAGGTCTGGATGGTGAGCCCCTCTGAGCAGTATCTACCAACCTTTGTACCTGCTAAGCAGGTAAGATTGAAAATAGAGTAAAAGGTATGCATGTAGCTGCAAAGAAATCCCAGTTTCTCCAGGTCATCCATTCATGAATGACTGTCTCCGGCTTTGTTTTGCTGAGCAGTATCTGTATTAGGCCCTTTCCCTCTTGAGCATAACGCTTTAATATTGTGTGCCTTCCCACAGAAGTCTGTTTGACAGATGAACATCACGAGATGTTGACAACATCTGGTTCAAGATCTTGAGCCCACAAGTAGCAAGATGCTTTTATTGCAAAGTGTAGTGCTCTAGTACATATACATGTGCAGTGGTCTTGTGTGTTGGCAGAATTGCTGTGCTTGCTACCGGCAATGGATAGGGGTTGGAATACTGACTTGACATCTTGTGATGGATGGTTTCCCAAAAGCTGAAGAAATAACGTGTATGCCTATGAATTTAAGCAGAAACATTTCCTGTGTACCCTCATGCTTGATTCAGTTGTGACTTTGTTATATCACTTGAGTAACCGCTATAGAAATGGATATGTTGTACATTGTACATCAGCCAGTTGTCTGTAAAACTGAGGTGTGTGCAGGGATGTACAAGCACAAATTCTCTGCTCCCCAAGCATTCCAATGTAACTTCAGTGTGGCACAGTTACCGTGACAGCTGGAATGAACAAGCTGCATGGTCTTCATGGTTGAGTGTTTACACGTGTGCACATACATACAAACACACAGAATCAGTTGGGTGTGACTGGTTTAATCACCTACGAGCAGAAAGTTGATCTTTTCTTGCTAAGCTGGTCACTGACTGAAGAACAAAAGTTGTTTGCTCTGCGAAATCCAGTGTGTGGCTATTCCATAATGGTAGTGTCATTTTATATGCCAATAACTGTTGAACAGGGTGACTCAGTTAGAGGAGGCCTGAAACGTGTGGGCTGGCAGAGGTTAGGGTGCTGGAGAAGGCCTAGTGAAAAGGAGTGCTCTCTTCCATCCCCTCTCCCAGGCTGGCATTGAGAATGGCTGCAGTGGTAGCATTGGGAAACACATCAAAAGGATGCACACCTTTACTACAAAACGTGTGATCCTTTAGTTAAAATGATTTTAAATTATTGGGTTTTGTAATATAATGATTTCTGCCTGATCCCTTCTTTTCCCTCACTTTATCTGATATTCAAGGGTTTGAAATCTCTTTTTAAACATCCTAATCTTTGCTACAATGGCTCCTGACAAAAAAATGGCTTTGGCACAGTTTGGGTACAGTTTTGTGTGTCATGAAAATCAAATTCAGTTGCCTTCTCACCCTCTTCTATTTTTGTAAAGAAATTACTTCAGTGATTTGGACATTTTATAAGGAAGAGGTGGTCTTTTTCTATCTTGAAAATAATACAACATCCATTTTACTTTAAAAAAAAATCTGTCAAGCCTGAATAATAAACAAAAACCCATCAAGAGGTAGACTCCTTTCACACTGTCTTCCAGAGAATCTTCACTTTGTTCAGAGAAAGTTTCCCAATTTACATAGTGATTCTTCTTTATGGGAGAGTTATTTTCATTCTCTGTTTCTCAGACCTTTTCCTATAGATGGGAACGGGGGAAGGAGCCCAGACGTGGCAACTCATTCACAGGCTCCTGCCGGACCACCATGGCTTATGATGGCACCAAGAAGAAAGAAGGTATGACTGCTTCATAATCTCAGAGAGATTTGCAAAAGAAAAAAAAAAAAGGGTGTCCTCCCTCTGCAGCCTTGCCAGGCCATGCAGTCAGAGTGGGAACAGAAGCTAGTGTGCTGTGGAGCTCTTAAATTTAACCTGGCCAAGTTACTGGAGGATCCCAAGCCCTTGACTTTCAGGTGTGAAGTACTGGGATCAGAACTTGAGAAAAATGGGTGGTATTTTCTTGTGCAGACACCCTGATTGGAAACTCTGCCACTGCAGCCTTTCTTTTCCCTGCCAGGTCAATGGAACTGGGGACCAGCAGTAATGGTAAGTTTAGTCATGGTAACATTTCTAGGTCCACTTGTCTTTAGGAAGGAATATACAAGGGTTACAAATTAAATCTGGAGTGATTGTGTTAGAGTGTTAGAGCACCGAGCCCCATCTCTGTGGTCAGACAGTACAGGCCCCTTTAGGCCCCTGTGCTTGTTGAGTTTTGCGCATCATTCAGTGCCAACATCTGCTGTTCGCTTATTTTGTGCATGGTCCACACGCCTATCATTCCTTAATGGAGTATTTCATTTCTTCCTTTTTTCCCATTTCACATAAACGATAGAGTTCCTAGAGAGTCACCGAGGTGTTGATGACGGGCTGGCAACCAGCAGGATACAGCGAGAGAAGAAGCGCTCTTACAAGGATCTGCTGCAAGAGGAAGACGAGGTAGCAACTCAGGTAGGAAATCCTCAGAGGAAAAGTTGAAGGTGTAAGGATGTGTGTAAAGCTGGTGATGGAATGGGTTTCTTGTTCTTTTTTTTTTTTAAATTTAGAAATGCATGTAGAAGGCAGCAAGAGCAGCTAATCATGTCCTGTATTGTTCAGTAACTTTCCTGGGGAAAAGGAGGGGGTCAATCTCAGTTACAACTGATTCTGATGTTTCTGGTAGTAGGATGTTGTCCTAGTCTTGATATAGAACCTTGCAAGTCATGAGATTCCATGAATAACTTCTTAGGCACATAAAAATAATTTGGAATTTATGGTTGTATTAGTAGCCAAGAAAGGATGGGTATAATGTTAACTGATGCACTGTTGTTTTCCTGATTCTGCAGACAGCCTGAAACAATAGCTCTTGAGAGATATGAACTTGCCCTGTTCACCTCTTTGGGGCCTTAACTTTTGAAATCACATAGTGGCAACTTAAGTGTCTGCAAAACATTCCTCTTTGAGCTAAAAGTTCTGCTGTTAGTTCAAAGGTGACTACCTTGTGATTTTTTTTAATCAGGAAAACAAGTTCTAATTTAAAATTCTTTTACCATGCAGATGAATTCTGCAGAGGAGCTTCAGTTTCGGATCGTAAATTGGTCAAGACACAAATAATAATTAGGGGACATGACATATTAAGGACATATTTTTGGCCCATTCTAGTTGTCATCTCTTCGTACCTCCTGTCAGTTCTTTTATCTTATTCAGCATATTAAACATGAACTGCTCACCTCCATTTTCATGGCTTGACAGTGTATGCATGCTTAGTTATTTCTTAGCTTTATTAAGAGGTAGATGTTTGTCTTTTATCAACTCATCAGCTAATCTCCAACAGCTAGCTTTCACTGCCCATTTCTTAACATTTTCAAATGTGCTTTTTCAAGTTTTCTTGTGCATTGCTCCTCTCACTTTGGGGGGACCTCCCTCTAGAGATCTGTCTTTCAATTTGCTTGAAGCCCTGTTGTGCTGCAATGCATACAGAAAGTTTGATGCTGATCTGGTGACTGATGTGCTGAAACCAATCCTGACTAATACCATTTTTTGTATTCTTCCACCTCCTCATAACTTGAGTTTTGTTTTACTTTAAACCTACACTGTGTGCTCTTGGGGACAGAGCATGTTTCCTTTCAGCACCCAGAATGATGATCCTGGCTCATACCTGGGGTTCCTTGATGTTACAGTAGTACAGATAACTCTTGATATCTCCTACGAATTATTATCTCTGTTAATAGTCCGCGTGAATCTCATATTATTTCCCTCTTTTTTGTCAGCAACTTTCTTCTTCTTATTCCAGGACAGTGAGTTTTTTCCAGGGACAGAACCTCACAAAAAGAAGAAAAAGCACTCCTCCGATGAGTTCTGCTACAGAGGTAAAACAGTAAACAGGCAAGGAAGGGGCTAACAGATCATGACTTTGAGGAAAGGATGCTCTTAAACCAGTGTCATGAAGCTTTATGGTTAGCATTTTATGGGGAGTCAACCTGTCTAGAGCAAGTATTCGGAAACCCGACGCTGATCAGCACCAGACAGCAGAAGATTAGGGAATTATATTTTCAGAGTCTAGCTTAACAAGTTGCCATTGTTGGGGGTAGAGGTCTTTCACCCCCTTTTCATTGACAAGCTGTAGCTTTCTAACCCTTGCCTTCCCATTTGGCATTTGCTTCTCTGCTCAGTTATTCCCACAGTAAGTTGGCCAGAAGATGACAGTTCACTTCATAAAAGCTTAACATGTTTCGAATTTTGTTTTTGGCACAATAGAAGGAGAAAGCCAAGCTGAAATTTCATGAAAATCTGTCTAGAGAATGAAAAAGCTCATATTTTCAATTAATTGGTCTCACATTAGCTAAAAATGGCATGAAAACCTTGCACTCAAGGTGTAATTTCAGACTCAGTAAGATATATTTCTATCAAAATAAGTTGCTTCACAATAGAATAGAATTTGACAAAACTTCCGGAACTTTCCTACTGTCTTCCTGCCTTAAATTTTTTTAACACCAGCTCGGGTGTTACAGCCTCTGAATTGTATCAGTAAGACCATGCTGAGCTGGCTGCAGTCTTGAGACATGTTCTGTTTAAGCCAGGCTGTAAATCTGTTAGCTGTAAATTGTAAGTCTTGCAGGATCCCCACTTCCCTTCTTTGCCGTCTTTAAGGGAGTCATCTTGATGTACATTTCTCTTCATCTTTTTCAGGTGTTTCGCCTCTGGATCTACCATCAAAGAAGAAGAAAAAAGCAGCTTCTAGCCCATCCTCAGCTGATCCAACCATGGATTTACTCAAGGCTATCACCTCACCTTTGGCCACAAGCTCAAAGTCTTCAAAGAGGACCTCTGAAAAATCATCTCATTCTTCCTCTGGCCATTCTGAAAGCAGAAAGGAGCACACCAAGAAAAAGCTGAGTGGGAGCAGTGGGGAACACTCAGTGGACGATGGCAGCTCCCACAAATCTAAAAAAATGAAACCTCTCTATGTGAACACAGAGACACTTACTCTTCGTGAACCTGATGGCTTGAAGATGAAGCTCATCCTCTCACCAAAAGAGAAAAGTAGTACAGCAGATGATGATGCTTTATCCTACTCTTCAACACCAGCAGCTGCAAAGAAATCTTCAAAGAAATCAGCTCGAGATGAGCAAGGCTCATTTCTGCTGGGTCATGAACTGCAGAGCTTCCTGAAGTCATCCCGAAAGAAGCACAAACCACCTTCTGACTCACATCCGCCTTCTGAGAGTTTTGGTGCTGACACCTCCCTTCATTCAGAAGGCCACGGAAGTGAGTATGAGATTCCAGGTACGGAAGCGCCACCAGAATCTGGTTCTTCTTCTGGTGGAGAGTTGGAGGCTGGAGAGCTAGTGATAGATGACTCCTACCGGGAAATCAAGAAGAAGAAGAAATCAAAAAAAAGTAAGAAAAAAAAGGACAAGGAGAAACACAGAGAGAAGAAGCACTCTAAGTCTAAAAAGAGTTCTGGGCATTCTCCTGTGGCGGTAGCAGAAGTAAGGGTGTCACCACCACCTCCCAGTACCCCCTATGTTGTTCCTCCACCTCCTCCTGCTGTTTTTCACTCAGATGGTCAAGGTGAGAAAAGGAGGAAAAAGGAAGACAAGGAGAAAGACAAAGCTGAAAAATGGGAAAAGGAGAAGGAAAGAGACAAGGAAAAGGAGAGAGACAAGGAAAAGGAGAGAGACAAGGAAAAGGAGAGAGACAAGGAAAAGGACAGAGACAAGGAGAAGGACAGAGACAAGGAAAAGGACAGAGACAAGGAAAAGGAAAGAGAAAGAGAAAAAGAAAGAGAAAAAGAAAAGGAAAGAGAGAAGGAAAGAGAAAAAGAAAAGGAAAGAGAGAAGGAAAAGGAAAGAGAAAAGGAAAAAGAAAGAGAAAAAGACAAGGAAAGAGAAAAGGAAAGAGAAAGAGAAAAAGTAAGGAAAAATTGGAGGGAAAAGAGAAATTGGGTGGTGGGTAATGGTGGATTAGGCATTCCATTACAAAGGCATGTTAAACTGAAACAGAAGGATAACTAATACCACTATCAATGGTTTCACTGAAGCATGTTTGGAAAACTGTCAGCCACTGTGATTTCTGTTTGTAGCAAAAGGAACATATGTTGGTTTGGGTTTGTGGCACAGGTAGTCTTTAGCCGATAGAGGTTCTCTGGAAAGGTTATACTTAATTTTGCTTTGTACAGGTCAGGTATCAAGCACAGCTGCATCATTTTCTAACATGACTGGTTCAAGCTATTGCCAGGCAGACTTTTGGACTAGTGATCTAGTCCATCATCACAGTTCCTGTACATGAAAAGTGAAGATATTTACCCATTTACTCCTGTATTCAATGAAATTATAATTCTTATAGACTACCATGTTCCCAGTTTTGTCCTGTACTTATAAATTCAGTTTTCCATGGTTACTGTGTAAAGAAATGAGTAGCAGAAATGGTAACTAGCATACAAACAAGTTTGCAAATTATGTAACTAGCTGTGTAAGTTTATAAATGGGCAAAAGCAGTTTCTGCATGCTCAGATAGAGAAATGTTGCTTTGTATGAGGAAATGGGCAGACAGAGCCCAAATCTGTTCAGGCATTATCCTATTCTATTTGGGAAGTTTTCCTTGATCATAGCTTGGCAACTGCAAAACCTCTGCTGTCAATGTACTTACACAGTCTGTTTTCTGCCAATTTGAAATACTTTGTAAGGATGCAAGAAACGGAACAAAATATTATCATGAGAACCAAATTGTTTTGACAGATCTATAATAGGTACTGTGAATAGTATAACAGATAGTGGTTTTTATTTTAAGTTTTAAAACTGAGCTACATTAACAGAGTGGTATGTTGATCCTGAAATTAGAATAGCAGGTTGCTGTTGAACTTTGTAAGATAAGCCATGTACTAACACTGGTTCTGGCTGATTCCTGTGCTTTCATAAACACTAAATTCAGCCAGAACATGTAAAACACTGCTTTTTAAGGTTCCTGATTTAAGTGTCATACTTTTCTTTAGGTCTTCAATAAATGCCAAATTCTTATTAAATTGGAGAAGGTCTCATCAGGATTAAAAATCTTTGTTTCCTTTCTTCTTCTGACTAGCCAAAGAAGAAAAACATGTCTGCCTATCAAGTGTTTTGTAAAGAGTATCGTACAACTATTGTGTCTGAGCACCCTGGAATAGGTAAGAAAATAATTGAGCCTTCTCTTCTCTTGCTTATACACCAGTCAGATTAATTAGGAGAACATATCATCTCTGTTTCAGACCAACCCCTTGCTTTTGACAGAATGCAAAGAATCTGCCAATTTAGAGTAAGAGGTGGAAAAGGGGACAGGAGTGGATTTTCATAGAATCGTAGAATCAGCCGGGTTGGAAAAGACCTCAGAGATCATCAAGTCCAACCCGTGATCCAACACCACCGTAGTTACTAGATCATGGCACTAAGTGCCACATCCAGTCTTATCTTAAAAACCTCCAGGGATGGTGACTCCACCACCTCCCTGGGCAGCCCATTCCAAATGTCTGTAAAAAATGTCTTCCTAAAAGATTTTGTGATTGTATTATAATTACATTTTAACCAAGCTATGAGTCTGGATAAAGAAATTGCTAGCTCTTTCTTTCTTTACTTAGAGACTTACCTTTATTGTGTCACTGTCCTGCAAATACGCTGTCACTTCATATTCCTGGTATCAGCTTTTTTTTTTGATTTTAAACAGTAATGGGAATGCACACTGGCACTCATTTTCAGGACAGCATGGAGAGTTCCAGTTGTGCAGTGGCTTGCTTCCTAAATGTGTATGGATGGGCCTGTAAGTTTCCTATGTTCTCTCCTTGATTTTATGATCTAATTTGTTTTAAACATTTTTCTTCTTTCTTTCTGCCAGATTTTGGAGAGCTAAGTAAAAAACTGGCAGAAGTGTGGAAGCAGCTACCTGAGAAGGACAAACTGGTGGGTGTGTGTGTGTGAGATGTTTCTGTAAACTGATTTCTGTAAACTAGGTGCTTAGATCAGAATGTGCTGGCAGCATTGCCACCATACCTTGAAATATGCTACCTATGTCCCCAAAGTATGTAAAGATGGAAAGTATGGAAACCTTGCCCTTGCAAACATAAAAGCCTTCATTTCCTTCTCATGGTATTGCTTCACCCGTTAGCTACATGACATCATTCTACCTCCAGGTCCTGGCATCGGGTAGCAGAATTACCTAATGTTATGAGTCTCTCTTTTCTTACCACGATAACTACAGATCTGGAAACAGAAAGCTCAGTATCTCCAACACAAGCAGAATAAAGCAGAGGCCACTACTGTGAAGAGAAAGGCATCATCTTCAGATGGTGCACCAAAAATGAAAGGTAATTGTTGCACTTTATTTGCCCTCATCGTTTTTCTTGGTCAGGGAAGATAGTGTTGCCAGTGGAATAAGGAGCAAACGTCCTTACCTGCTTCACATCCCTAGCAGCTTTCTCACAAGGTTTGACATTTAAATCACCATACTACTCAAATCAATTTTTTTGTGAGAGCGAGAATGATGTCAGCATTTTTCATACAGATTTCCTTGTCTAATTCATAGAACGGCGTTGTTTTTAGCACTATAGGGATTGAAATGTAAAATAAGAAAAGGCAGAAAGGAAGTTGTAGTGGGATTAATTTTGCTGCTAGAGGAAAATTTATTGTTCTTGATTTGGCATCACTGATACCAAATCTCCCCAATTGCATTCAGCTGAGGTAGATGTTTTGTACATGTGAAAAAAAGCTTTGACTCCAAAGACCACAGGATTGGGTCCACAGAACTCTTTAAGCATCTCATGCCTTTGAGATTTGAACTTTACTAAGTCAATAGGCTTGTAAGTAAAACAGTGAAAGAAATGAATTTGGAATTTTAATTTGCATGTTTCCAGCTTCTCCAACAGGAGTGATTTCCCCTCATAAGAAATCCCCCACAAGCACCGTGGTGGTGCCTTCCTCACCAGCCAAAGCCCCTGAGACAGATCCTATTGATGTAGCTGCACACTTACAGCTGCTGGGTGAATCCCTGAGCCTCATTGGACACAGACTGCAGGAAACAGAGGTGAGTGTAACCAGCAGTGTCACCGTGATGTCCTGTGATCTACACATTGGATTGTGGGGGATGATTATTTTATTTAATTTAGAAGTTTAACCAATGATTTTCATTTAGGAAGAGAAACTGGAGGTGGTGTGCCATGTTTTTTTGATGCATTGCTGTTTATGGTAGTTTTCTGGCAGTATCATATTGCCAGTGCTTTGGACAGGGGCTACTATTGTTTCAACTTACCTAGTAACATAGAAGATGTCATATTTTAATGGTTTCCTACTGGTAAATGATAGTGATTCTATGAATGCACATACACACGTGCACTTTCAGAACTCAGCCCAGACTCTAAGCAGAACACATATTTGTCTCAAATAATACCACTGAATTTTATGGGTAGCGTGATCATCTCATCGCACTGTGCTTGCAAGAACATTTATTTCACTGCTGATAAAAACAAGCATTTTGTTTTTGGGATGACTGAGGTAATTTTCAGAGGAACAACCAGAGTACAGAAAGGCACAAAATTCCCCTTCCTGAAAGTATATCAATGACTAAAGCATTTGTTACAGACATAGCATTTCTTTAAACTTCATAAATTGAAAATTTTTGTCATTAGGACTCATGTGGTTAACAAAATAGATGGTATGAAATGGCAGAGCTCATTACAAAAATTTGGGGAATTCAGTGTTTTATGCAACTCACAACCTTCTGACCTTTTCTTTTGTTCCCTACCTTTTTCTTGCATCAGTATGTTGCCTACTGAATTCTTAAATTTTTTGACTCAGCAGTCTCCCTGTGAAGCACAAGGCACAGTTTTGTTACTGTGTAAATAGTGAAAGTGGACTAGAGGAGCTGAAGATACTGTATCTGCACGAGGATTGATACAGTTGAGAAAACCATCAGTTCCACCACTCATCCCCATCCAATTTTTTTTCTTTACTACCAGGGAATGGTGGCTGTTTCAGGAAGTTTGTCAGTACTTCTAGATTCAATCATCTGTGCTTTGGGTCCATTGGCATGTCTGACCACACAACTGCCTGAGCTGAATGGCTGCCCGAGGCACGTTTTGGTGAGTTCCCTGTGGTTATATGTTACCATTGTATGACACTGTGTAACTTTTTATCTACCAGTGGCAACTGACCTAGTATTTGTAGCATTAATTGCAGTGTGGGTAGGTTCTGTTTTAGTGATGAGTCAATCGTGTGAATCAAATAAAAGTGCCAGTACATGTACCAGTATTTTTCAAAGTTTTGATTTTCTGTAAACGTAAGCCCCCCCTTCTAGCTGCTCTGTATCACACAAGCTATTTTTCCTTTAGAAGCATAAAAAATAGTTTGTGATGTCAATATTCCCCATGTGATGGTGTAGGGTCTTTTACATGTGGCTGAAACCTTCTCCGAGGAAAGAAAAATAGTCCCTTTTTTAAGGAACTGCATAGCTATAAGTTCTTTTCCACTTTAAATTACACTTAGTATTGAACCCTGATTTAGCAACAGCTTGTGGCATCTATGTAGCCTGATGTGACAGATTCAGATGGCAGCAGCATAAAGGAATCGGGAGTCATATCCCCAACAGGAGACATGAATAAAGCAGCGAAGGATAGAAGCAAAGATCAAAAATATACAGTCTGCAAAAGTTGAGAGACTGAAAACAAATCTGGCAGAGAGAACAACAAAAATGGATTATGAATTGGCAGGTCATAATAGGGCAGCCTAAACATTGATTCATTCTGAGAGCAGACTGTTAACAAAAGGAACAAAGTTGACAGCTTAGGCTGTGAGCTCCCACAAACTGGCTCTCTGCACAAAAGCTGAATCAGTGGGATGTTCCCATCCTAAGCCATGGAAAAATCATATGCTTTTTTCCTTCTTGCTTGCCAAGTGCAATGACACCACGTGACTAATGGTGGGTCTATTGGAAACGTGATCAACTTATTGTTATAAGGAGCAGTGGAGCTTTAGGTGAATTAAAGCACCTACCCTTCAATTCTGAAAACTGGTGTTCAGGAGTTGATAATAATTAAATAATTCTGATTTTTACTGTCAGATTCATAACAAAAATGGATAAAATTCAGCAGTTGTGTTGCGTGTAGAATGCATTTTATCTTTCAGGCAGTAGGTGGCATTGTTAACTTCTAGAATCACAACTGGTACAGCTCTAGCTCCTCCAATTAAAAGGTGGTGTTCTAAGGCCGTCGGCTATCCAGCCACAGGCTTGAGCTTACTGAAATACTGCACTTGAAGAAACATAGAGCTGGGGACTTTTTTTCTGAGGTGCATGGAAAGATTCTTACTCTGAGAATTGTGTTATGTTTTGCAAGAAAAACTGAAGAGCACTTTTTTTTCCCATCTGACACCCTTTTTGGGGTGCGTTTAAGGCTTTTTCTCTTTACTTTTACACTACAGAATTTCATAGAGAAATTACGAGTGTAAAGTCAAGTAATTTTTTTCTATATGCTGCAACTTTGATCACCTTGCTCAAATCCTTCATCACTGGTTTTTCTATGGTTGATGTGATGTGGTTACTGTGGCTTGCAGAGATAAGAGTATGGAGTCCATAAGGAGGAAGTCACTTGGGAAAAGCCTCAAGCATTTTCAGTGTTTCCAGGCGCTTAAAAATACTGAGGCTACCTTTATGTTTAGTTAACCTACATCTCCAAAAATGTGAAAATAAGCCTAGTGATCGATAGGCAGATTTGGTTGTCCCATCATATGATAACTTGTAAGACAAGTGAATATGCTTATTACCCTCATCAGTGTAATTTTTAAGGATTTGGAGTTATTGCCTGACACTAAAAAAATACTGAATTTCTTTTCCCAGTCAAACACACTAGACAACATTGCCTACATCATGCCTGGACTTTGATGGGAAAGGATCCTGGGATGTACTCAACCTCTGCGTAACTGATTTGTGTACATATGCACTACGCGGCGCTCCTGAAGGGCTCCATGTGGAGGCTTTTAAAGTTTTATATGTGTATAGTATATACATAGGATTGTAACTATTTGACTTCTATTTTATGAAAAGTTGTGAAATTAAGCTGAGAAAACCCTTTTGTGTCAGTGGGTGAAATGTCCTCCAGTCTGAAAGTACTTTGTATGAAGAATTCAGAACACTTTTGAGATACTTGCCTTAATTTCAGATCCTTTAGTGGGGGAAGCAGGCAGAGAATGGACTTCTCGATGTAAAGAAGAAAGCTGTCACCATGAGAAAGGTCATTGAAACAGTTGGCCCAGAGGGGTTCTTGACTCTCCATTCTTGATGGTTTCAAAAATTGAATGAGCAGCTTCCTCTAGCTGGACTTTCTTTAAGCAGGAAGATGGACCAGATGACCTCCTGATACCCCTGCCAGCCTAAAGTATTCTGATATTCTATGGGCAGATAGAGATGATAATATATTTTGGACCAAGGAATAGAACTGAATTCTTCACCAGCCGTATTTGTAACTCTTTTTCAGTTTAAAATCCACTGCTTGAGGGGAAAGCTGGATAGCTGATTAAAGATACAGAGGTCTTTGCCTCTTGGTCGCTTCCTCCAACCCTCACTCCTCAGTCAGTAATAACTGAAAGTTGTCAGTGTCAGCTGGCTGGTCTGGTAGCTGGCATTTGAAGTGAAGTAGAAGATGTCAACAAGTTTAATTTTTTCTTGTGGACTCATACCCAAATCATCATTAGCACAATGTATCAACCAACTGCATTTGCTTGAGAGAATGAACCTCCTGCTGGCTTTTTCCAGGGCATGGTCAGCCTGCTTTGATGGAGAGGAGTGCAGAAGCAGATGGGAAAAACTTGGATTGCTTCTGCCCATCTTGCACCTGTTTTATGAGATTGGTCACCCCCCATCCCTTTCACCAGCACTATTGAAAGAGCTGTGGTGCTGCTGCAAGGCAGTGACTGCTGACCAGTTTGAAGCAGCTACGGCTGAGTAAGGCACATGTGGGTTGATTGGACCGGTTCCTCCTCCTTCCAGCCACATACTTGGAGTTTGGTTTTCTGCTCCTCTAGAAGAGGAGATGCAGAAGAAGACTTGATTCCTGTTTAGACTTTTGTCTGTCTTGTATGTTTATGTGGTGTTCATATCACATGTATTTAACTTTTACCGATATCTGTAACAGATTTTAATTTATCCTGTATATTTCTCTGTGTGTGTGTGTGTATATATATATATATACATAATTTAAAAGCAAAAATCCCTCCCTCAGCCAACAGTGTGTGGAAAATAGGAATCAACTTTGCCTCACCTGTTCCTGCAGAAATCAGCTATATGTGGGAAAACACCAAGAAGATTCTAAGTGTTTGTAAAAACAGGCCATCTTGTGAAAGAAGGTAGAAAAACTGAAATATAGTTTGACTCAAACCTTTCCAGCTCTGTCACAAGAAAGTTTTAAAATTACAGAACAGCCATTTTTTACATTCAAGTAAGTCTAGCTTCTGTTTTTCAGGATAGTTGAAAGTGAACTGTCCCTCATTCTGGCTGAGCCCCAAATCGGAAGTAAATTAAATCCTTGGGAGTGCAGGAGGGTTTTTCTCCCAATACCTCTTCACTATGTATTCCCCAGATGTGCCTGTGTACAAGGTAGTCTCTCTCTTACAGAGTTTTTCTCAGTGCAGTGAGAGGTTTTGTGAGTCAGTTAGTGGAGGAGGCAAAAGGTTCTCAGACCACTGGACCAGAACACACGTTTTAGCAACATATGACAAATCCCAGTGAGCCTAGAATTAGGAAGGTCCCAGGAGGGATCCTAGCCCATACAGAACCATCTGCTGCTGGGAGCGGCACAAAATAACTTTTTTCCAGCCCTTTACAATTGAGAGCATTGTGGTGAAGGGATAGATCTGCTCTCGAAGAAACAGAAGGGGATAGCTTTAGCTTTGTTGTCTGTACAATGAAAAACTCTTGAAGAGTGAAAAACACACACAACCCTGGTGTATTGTATTTTTATTAAAATTTGTACACTTTGTATAATCTGTATCTTGTGGTATTTGGTACTATAGGGAAAACTTTGGCAAGACTTAGCAGTTTTTATATTTTTGTTATTTCTTTGCTGTTTGGTCCCGATTACATTACAATTATACACAGAAACTTTTTTTGTACTGTACTTACAATATAATTTTTTTTTAACATTTGGAGTATTGTCGTTCATTTCTGGCATGCACTGCTTTCTGCAGCTCTTGTTACTACTCGTATCTAGTGTTTCCCAGCAAAGCACATCCAACCCTATCCTTGCTAAGCTCACTCAGTTTGCAGGCAAGCTGTACTGTTTGCAGCAGCACACTGATCATCACTGAAAGACCCCGGCCATTTGGCCCTTCTTTCTGAAGGGAGACAAGCCATTGAGTACCACGGATAGCATTGGGGCATTCCATTCAGGTTCGTAGTGACAGATGAGGCCAATACCTGGGACTTGAGTGTGTTCCATGGGATGTCAGGCGTGGCAGCGTTAGAGCACGATTTGTGCTGGTTGTTAACATGTCCTCATTTTCCGGGTATGGGTGTTGGTTGATTGCAGCCGCGGCTTGGGCAGGGTGCGGTATTAGGCCAGGAGCAGGTCACAGAACACTGTGCCTTACTAACCACCATCTATGGGGCCACAGGATGGTTTGAGTTGCAAGGGACCTTAAAGGTCATCATTCCAGCACCCTGCCATGGGCAGGGACACCTTCCACTAAACCAGGCTGCTCAAAGCCCCATCCAACCTTGAACAGTTCCAGGGATGGGGCATCCACCACTTTCCTGAGCAACCTGTTCCAGTGCCTCACCACCCTCACAGTAAAGAGTTTCTTCCCAATTCCTACGAGTGTGCTCCCACACCAGGCCGTGGAAAACTAAAACCCCATCGCTACAGGCGTTCCACGACTCGGGCACCGCTCTAGGTGTTCTGCACGAGCTCGGTGTGGCTGCAGAAAGTGGCGGAGGCTGCCGGCGGCGGGAGCCCCTCGGTTCCCGCGGGCCGAGGCTACGGGCCGGCAGGACCCCTGTCCCGGCATCCGCCGCCCCTCCGCACGGTGGCTCCGTGCCACGCTCAGCCCGTAGCTCGGCGGGGCCGGTCCGGGGCCCCTCCCGGGCGGCGGCGTCACAGCGGGGCTCAGCGGGCCCGCCCCGGCCGGCGCGCGGGTCACGTGAGCGGCGGCGGCGGCGGCGTCAGCTGATCGCGGCGCGGCGGCGGCGGCGATGGACTTTCTGCTGGGGAACCCCTTCAGCTCCCCCGTGGGGCAGCGCATCGGTGAGACTCGCGCCCGCGCCCCCCGAGCCCCCGCGCGTCCCCGCGTCCCCGCCCGCCCCCGCCGCCCCGGGGGCGCCCGACCGACCCTTCCTCGGGGAAGCGCCGGGCCCCGCCCCCGCGGCGGGACCGAGCCAGCATTGACCAATCAGAGCAGATCTCCTCTCTGACTGACGGGCACTGCCGGCCAATAGCGAGCGCACAGCCCGAGGCGGCTCCGCCGGGGGCCCCGCCAGCCAATCCGGGCGCAAAGGGGTCTCGGGGTGAAGTTTGCTCGCTTAAAGGGGCCGCGAGCCGGGGGTCCGGACCACGCCCCCCGGGGCCGCCAAGGCCCGTGATTGGCTCGGGGCCATTCCCGCCCGCGCCTCTTCGGGGGCTTCGCAGCAGGGGCGGGGCCACGCCGGGGGTACGGTAGGAGCCGCTGATTGGCTGGGCTCCCGCTGCGGCGGCCTATCGCGGCCCGGGCGGGAAGGGGCGCGTGACCCGCGGTGGCGCGAGGGTCGCCCTCGGGGGCTGAGGGGACAGAGGGGACAGTGGGGACAGAGGGGACAGTGGGGACAGTGGGGACAGTGGGGGCTGCAGGGACAGCAGCTCTAGGTTGGGCTGTCCCTGTGACGTGGGGCTCACCCACTTGGACCAGCGTCCTGCACTCGAAGGTCATGCGCGCTGGGCACCCAGGGCGGCTGCCCGAGCCTCTCCGTGCTGAGCTGTGGGACAAGCGTCATGGCTGTGGAGAGCAGCTCCCTGCGGCACGGGCCGGCTCAGGGCACTGAGCACCAACTCTGGCAATTAACACGGCGCCCACGCTGTGACCTCTCCGGTCTCCCGCAGTCCCTGCACTCAGGGCAGCTCGGGGAACGTGGGAGAAGGATGTGGTCTGAGAAAGCGGAGCAGCGATGCCACAGTTAGAACAAGACCATCAACAGCTGCACTGGCGTTGGAACAGAGATTCTTAAAATCAGTTCTTTGAGCAGTTCTTAAAATAGTTAGAATGAATTATTCCTCCCATTTCTCCCATGCTGTATTGCCTAAGGGCCTTCAATTTGCACTTGAACATTGATGCCCAACTAAACTCTCCATTTGTCAGTTTATGCACTTCCATTCTTGCTGTTTGTCACCCTTCAGACCTTTGCTCTTCACTGTGAACATCTGGTTCTGGGTTCAGTTGTTTTTGGTGAGCTCACATGGGTGAATGGGCTATTGTGGCTGGGGCAGGAAGGGAGCAAGCAGCTGCTCTAAGTAATGCTTTTGTAGGCACTGCTTATTTTAGAGGCTGCCCTAAGTGCTGTCCAAAAGTGGGTTGGTGGCACTGTGATGTGCCGCTCTGGTGTTGGGACACATGTGAGATGCACTACAGCAGGATGGGGGAAGGATCATCAGGGATCATTCTGTTATCAAAAACCTCCAGATGATCTTCAGCATCTCCCCAGAAGAATGTCACATGTTCCATCACACGTTCCAGGAAAAACTGACTCCTGCCTTTTCCCAAATAAATGCTCTTTGTTCTCTCAGTGACTGTATCAAATATGTCCTTGTGCTTGGGTAGAGGCAATCTGAAGATGTCACAGATCCCTTGTTGCCCTCCAGATCTTCTCGTCAGTATAGTAACCAGACTGTAAGTGGGGTTCCTCTGGGCTTTCCTTCAATTAAAGAAGGGATTCCCAAGCAACAAACCAACAACCAATAAGAGGGAAAAAAGGTATTTCAAGAGTGTTGTCAAAGAAGAGTTGGGAATCCTTAGTAGCAGAGGTACGATAGCAGGGAGATCTTAGTTACTGGGGTTTGGGGTTATCTGAGTCCAAAGGGTTGGAGGAATTACAGCATATGTGTAAGGAACTCAGGCTGAAGGGCTTGAAAGGACTGGTGGCTGAAAATATGAATGTTTTCTCCTTTTGAACATTACCTATCAACATCCTGGGGACATGGATAAATGCTATCTGCCCTGTTTAATTTGAGACGCGAACATGACTTACCCAAACTTGTTTGGTAGGTCCGTGGCAGCTTCGTGTCCAACCCATGAGCCTGATCACCAAACCTGCATAGTGCTGCTGCTTTGGGCTGTCTGCAAAAAGCTAATGCTGCGTCCTTGTAAATTACTTAGGCAAAGTCATGTACGCTTGATATAGCTTATGAGGTCTAAAATAGCTTTAGATGAAGGCTAAGGAATATTAAAAAATCCTCTGTGGCACACTGCAGCGACGTTCTCAAATTCCTTCATTAATGTTAATCTAGTAAGACCTATTTATTTTGCTGACTAGGAATCCAATGCTGAGATAATCTCAGTGATGTGTCACAGAATGAGTCAGTTGCAGAGGAGTAGGTTTTCTAGTTTCTTACTCACAGTTCTGAGATTTAGTCACAAAAGTTGCCTCTGTCCTGTTTTTGTTTGTGATGTCTCTTCCCAAGTAAGAGGAATACAGACTTGCTTGTTTGTTTTTTCATTATTTGTTTTTGCTTTATAAGTGGGTTTTTAAACACAGTACTTCTGACCAGTGGGAAATTTTCCAGAGTGATGAAACATTGTAGTTTGGAATCCCCCCTCAAAAGGGAAATCCACTGCACCTCCATCAAAGAGCTAAGAGAAGCTTTTTTCCACTTTCAAAATGGAAAATCTAATTTCAAGCAGGTGAATTCCCTCTGAGTGAGAGACTGGAGAGGAAACCATCAACGCTCTCTCCTCACCCTCGAAGTCTGAAATAACTAGTAATTATAGCAATACTGAAAGGGACAGAGACAGGTTATTTCAGTGCGTGAGGGCAGGCAAGGGAGAGGAGTAACGGTGTAGCACGGAGATGAAAAGGAATTTTTTGTGGTTGGGAGTCGTTTTAAGCATGAGAATCAGTAAAAGTTGAGAGTGTAAAGAGGGAGCAAGTAAGAGAGGCTCATGGGTGAGGAAGAAGGGCAGATATTGTGTAATATGCTAGAAAAATCTCCACAGCCATTTGGATCCCACCTTGCAGGTGTCCCTGCACCGCTCTGTGAGTTGGGACCTTGGGAGCTGTTGTCAGTAACAGTCTCCTGTTGGAGCCAGGTGGGTCCCTGCAAGGCTGTGCTTCTCAAAAAAGCGTTACCTTGTCTTCTGTGCCCCCTCTGTGTGAAGAAGGGGAAAAGGCAGCAGTTGAAGAGTCAGTTGATCCCTGAGAGTTTGAGCTGATTCGCAGGAAAGGAGCAGGAGTTCAGAGACCCAAAAACCCACAGCTCTGTGTCAGCATAGTCTGTGTCCATCACTGTCCTGGAGTTAGGTTTGGAGCCGTATCTCTGTTCTCTCTAGAAAGCATTTTGTCCCCTCAGTCTTTGGAGGAGTGATACAGTTAAATGGTGGAGTCCTGACAGAGCTGAAGTTCCCTCAAGGGAAGTGAAAGCATGAGGCTTAGCAAGGACACTTTGTACAGGGTGCTGATTTGGGCCAGGGGCTTTATGAACTGAAGGGAGGTTGGGAGAAAGGACTGTTGTGTTGCTTTATGTTGAACCTATGCTGTCTTGTGCAACGGAATGTTGGTGCCCTCAAATGCCTGTTGAAATGGGTGAGAAGGTGCTTGATGCTTTGCTGAGGAACTTAAAGCCAGCAAGACTGATGACTGTAGGGAGCACTATTTAAGAGCTTGACTTGGAGAGGCACACAGTTTTTGACCTGCTATGGCAAAGCATATCACAGGGAAAGGGTTTCTGAACGGCGCCTGTCTGGTTATGGGTGCTTCAGATCTGGGATGGGGAGCAAAGGGGACAGGAGCCCACACAGAATCTTCTGTCCCTGGCTCCTGTACTTCTCCACACTATGGACTGCAGTGATGGTATGCTGCTGCAGGTTGGGTGGGATTGCCAGACTTAACAATGGGCTCTCCCCTGCCATGCACAAAGGCAGAGACAATAAACTTGAAAAGAAACAAAGTTGTGAAATTTACT